TGTAAGCAGCATCTAGATAGGTCTTGCTTTTTTATCCAATTTGACAATCTCTGCCTTGTAATTGAAATTTTAAATTGTTTACACTTAATGTAATTTATTGATATGGTTGGATTTAAGTCAACCATCTTGCTATTTATTTTGTATTTGCTGCATTTGTTTTTTGTTCCTTCCTCTTTTCTGCTTTTTATATTTATTCAGTTTAGGGTTTATTTTTATCTTTACAATTTAGTTATATCACTTTATTATTTTGTAGTTATTTTTATTTTGTTATTATTCGAGGGTTTACAGTATATATTATTTAACTTACCACAACCTGACTTCAAATGATACTGTACTGCCTCACATATAATGTAAGGATCTTTAAAAAATATACTTACATTTCCCCCTCCTGTTCTTTCTTGTGCCAGTTCTTCTACATATGCTATAAGCACAATACATTTTTATTATTTTTGTTTTAAATGATCAGCTATCTTTTAAAGATATTATGACATGAAAAGTATTTTTTATATACCTACATCATTTTTATTTTTATTGTTCTGCTTTAAAAACTTTCTTTTTTTTTTTTTTTTTTCTTTTTCCTTCCTTTTCTTAGAGAGGGTCTTTTTCTGTCACCCAGGCTGGAGTACAGTGGCACAATCACAGCTCACTGCAGCCTCCACCTCCTGGTCTCAATTGATTCTTCTGCCTCAGCCTCTTGAGTAGATGAGACTACAGTCCGGTGACACCATACCTGGGTAACTTTTCTATTTTTTGTAGAGATGGGGTCTTACTATGTTGCCTAGGCTCGTCTCGAACTGCTGGGCTCAAGTGATCCTCCCAGCTCTACTAGTTTTTATAGTGATTATCTGTTGTTTTTCTGAAAATGTCTTTATTTCACATTGAGTTTTGAAAGTTTTTTCCCCAACCTATAGAATTCTAGGTTGACAGTTTCCTTTACCAGTTTTAAAGACCTCATTCAGTTGTTCTCTGGCGTGTGTTGTTTCTGCCAAATCTGGGGAAATTCTTTTTTTTTTTTGAGACAGAGTCTTGCTCCCTCGCCAAGCTGGAGTGCCGTGGTGCGATCTAGGCTTTATGCAGCCTTCACCTCCCGGGTTCAAGCGATTCTTCTGCCTCAGCTTCCTGAGTAGCTGGGACTATAGGCGTGCACCACCTTGCCCTGCTAATTTTTGTATTTTTAGTAGAGATGGGGTTTCACCATGTTTGCCAGGATGGTCTCCATCTCTTGACCTCGTGATCTGCCTGCCTCAGCCTCCCAAAGTGCTGGGATTACAGGCATGAGCCACTGCACCTGGCCAGTGTGGGGAAATTCTTATCTTTGTTCTTATGTGTAATTTACTTGTTTTCTGCGGCTGCTTTTAAGATTTTTCTTTTAATCACTGACTTTCAGCGATTTGGTATATCTATGTATGGGTTTCTTTGTGTTTATCCTGCATGTGGTTTATTTAATTTCTTGGAGCTTTGTATAGCAGCAGTCCCCAACCTTTTTGGCACCAGGAACCAGTTTCCTGGAAGACAGTTTTTCCATGGATGGGGTGTGGGGGACTTGGTTTCAGGGTAAAACTCTTCTACTTCAGATCATCAGGCATTAGTTAGATTCTCATAAGGAGCGCACAACCTAAATCCCTCACATGTGCAGTTTGCAGTAGGGTTCACGCTTCTATGAGAATCCATTGCTGCCACCTGTCTGACAGGAGGCAGAGGTTAGGCAGTAATGCTTGCTCGCCTACCGCTCACCTGCTTTGCAGCCCGGTTCCTAATAGGCCATGGACTGGTACTAATCTGCGGCCTGGGGGTTGGGGTCTACTGTTGTGTAAGTCACATGGTCTTACTTCTTGGCATGTCAAATAGTTATTGATTGCCTGCCGAACATTGTGAATGTTACATTGTTTAGTATCTGAATTTTTTGTGCATGTTATGTGTCTTCTTTTCATGACTATTGGGTTTTGTTCCGGTAGGCAGTTTAGTAATTTATTATTACCTCGGTTATTTGAGAATTGATTTTAGAGCAGATTTAGATTAGCTTTTACTCTAAGGGTGGTTTACCCCACTATTAAGGCATGGTTCTTACAAGGTTTCTGCTAAATGTCTTAGTGGTCAGTGAAGACTCACTACTCCAGCTGATGAAATACCGAATGATTTGCAGCCTTGTGTGAACCTCGAAACTATTCAACTCATAGCTCTCTAGTTTGGTTCTTGCCAGACCTGGTGGAGTGTCACATTATGCATAAGCATGTGTGGGACCAGGGAACAGAGCGTGAAGGGGACCTCTATGCATTTTCTTTAGTTTCATTCACTTTGAAATTGTGTCTCAGAACTTTCATCTACCTCCGCATTCTTGAATGCCAGTTTGTCCCTCCAGCTTCTCAATTCAGCTAGATAGCTACCTGGAATTCTGCTTTATGCTCTGTAGTGTGCAATGTGCCTCTGGGGCAATCCTGGTTCTCTTGTTAGTTCTCTTTCTTACTGGGATCAAAGGTTCTTGCTGCCTGTTCAATGTCTGAAAAAATGTGTTTCATATATTTTGTTCAGTTTTCTAGTTGTTAAAAGCAAGAGGGCAGATTCACTCTTTGTTCCTCCCTTATGGCCAGAAGTTAGAGTAACTTATTCATTTATTTACTTACAGTAATATTTTTAAATGTATGAAATAAAAAGTGTAGAATAAAAACATTATTTTGAAATAATTGTAATAACATTTCCATAACTACAAAATGGTTTTATATATGTTTAATGCATTCAATAACAAAGCCTAGTATGGGGTCCTAATAATACCTCTAATTATCTTTGAAGTCTTTACCTGACTCCAGATTAGGAACTGCTACCTTAAAACTGTCTATGCCCATGTATTCCCTGAAAAGTCTTCAGGTAACCCTAGAGATACAGACATTATAGTTTGAAGAAAGCTTTCTTTAGCTTTCTTCAAGTAAAGATGTCAACAGACATCATCACAATTAGAGTCTATTTTAATTTACCAAAGGAGAAAAGTTAAGCCTGGCAATTACTAATTATTAACATAGGTTGAATATCCCTAATCCAAAAATCTGAAGTGCTCCAAAATCTGAAACTTTTTGAGCAGTGACATGGAGCTTAAAGGAAATGCTCATTGGAGCATTTCGGATTTTAGATTTTTGAATTAGGGTTGCTCAATCAGTAAGTATGTAATGCAAGCATTCCAACATCTGAAAAAAATTTAAAAATCCAAAATGCTTCTGGTCCCAAGCATTTAGGATAAATATTCAGCCTGTAACAACTGCTGATCATTATGCTTATTAAAAATTACCAAATAAATAAGTATTCATTAATGACACATCATTCATAACAAAGCTATGTAAAATTTTAAAAATAATCTTCAGACTTTATGCTTATGCTTGTTATGCATGTATTTTATTGCCCCTTTACCATCAGTGCTTTTTTTTTTTGGAGATAGAGTCTGGCTGTCACCCAGGCGGGAGTGCAATGGTGCTATCCTAGCTCACTGCAGCTCCCCATCCCGGGCTCAAACGATCCTTCCACCTCAGCCTTCCAAGTAGCTGGGAGTACCGGCACATGCCGCCATTCCTGGCTAATTTTCGTATTTTTTGTAGAGACAGGGTTTCTCCAGGCTTCCCAGGCTGGTCTCAAACTCGTGAGCTCAAGTGATCCACCTCCATCAGCCTCCCAAAGTGCTGGAATTACAAGCATGAGCCACTGTGCCTGGCCAATGTTTCTTTTTTAGGAGATTTTCTTAAGTGATTTGATAGTTGAATGTAATTATTATTTAATTATGAGTAAAACTTTTTATAAAATACCATCTTGGGCTAGACGTGGTGGCTTATTTATTCCTGTAATCTCAGCACTTTGGGAGACCAAGATGGGAGGATTACATGAGGCTAGGAGTTTGAGACCAGCCTGGGCAACATAGCAAGACCCTGTCTCTACAGAAAAATAATAATAAAGAAAATACAAATTTATTGCTTAGTAAAACGTTAGCATGTTTTAAGTTTTATATTGTTGTTTTTAATGTGAAGTGATCGACACCTGTGAAAACGGGTGGAAAAAGAAAAAATAAGAGTAAATTTTTAAATGTGAAGTGAGAGTCAGACCTTCTATATTTGTTGTTGTTGTTGTTGTTGTTGTTTTTGAGACAGAGTCTCGTGCTGTCACCCAGCCTGGAGTGCAGTAATGCGATCTCAACTCTTGACTCACTGCAACTTCCGTCTCCCGGGTTCAAGCAATTCTTGTACCTCAGACTCCCGAGTAACTGGGATTATAGGCGCGCGCCACCATGCCTGGCTAATTTTTGTATTTTTTGTAGAGATGGTTTTTCGCCATGTTGGCCCGACTGGTCTTGAACTCCTGGCCTCAAATGATCCTCCTGCTTTGGCCTCTCAAACCCCACAAACCCCACTTTAAGTCTTTTTTTTTTTTTTTTTTTGAGATGCAGTCTCTCTCTGTCACCAAGGCTGGAGTGATCCCGGCTCACTGCAACCTCCACCTCCTGGGTTCAAGTGATTCTTCGGCCTCAGCCTCCCAAGTAGCTAGGACTACAGCCACCCACCACCATGCCTGGCTAATTTTTGTATTTTTAGTAGAGATGGCGTTTCACCATGTTGGCCAGCTGGTCTCAAACTTCTGGCCTCAGGTGATCCGCATGCCTTGGCCTCCCGAAGTGCTGGTATTACAGGCATGAGCCACCATGCCCATCCCCCACTATAAGTCTTACAGGGTCCGTGTTATACAGTTGAGCAATATTCATTCTCTTTCTTAATGTCATTGTCAAGTGTGAATATATCTTTTCCTGGTCAGTGAGAACTGAGGTTGAAACAAACAGTTTGATTTCTGGACTTACATTTGTACTAAAGTATATTGGGTTCTCTGAGGACAAAACCAACATACAACTTTTATCTATATAGGATTATTCTGTTCACTGTTTGGGAGATCTTATGCTTTTCAAATTAAACTATGAATAAATGCTTATACAAATAAGAAATGATCAGTTCTCCACTATCCTTCTGTTTTTCTAGGTGACTGTAACTACCCAATATTGCAGCCATGGAGTCCATGCTTAATAAATTGAAGAGTACTGTTACAAAAGTAACAGCTGATGTCACTAGTGCTGTAATGGGAAATCCTGTCACTAGAGAATTTGATGTTGGTCGACATATTGCCAGTGGTGGCAATGGGCTAGCTTGGAAGATTTTTAATGGCACAAAAAAGTCAACAAAGCAGGTAAGTTTTAATTCAGCATCCAGTTGGAAAAAACACACATGCTAAGAACCATAAAATGCATGTATGCATTTTTATGTTAAGAAATGCCAAAAGTTCTTTAATAGGTTCTTAAATGAGTTTTTTAGTTCTCATTTTATCTTACGCTGTCATACAAAAAACAAATGCTTTTAAATATGCTCTGAATCCTCCTGGTTACAGATACACAGTTTGACATACCATATCATCTTGAAATCTAATTTTGCTTACTTCATAAACATGTCAGTTGAGCAAACTAGTATATTAAATTGTAATATTTAGCAAAGTATATGTTTTAGGATAGAAATTGCCATGTTTGTTAAATTTTCTTTTCATGTTTGTCAGTATGTTACTGGCAAAATACCCAGTTAAATTTTTCAATGTTAAGTGTGTCTTAGTGCAGTCTTAGTGCTGGGATTACAGCGTGAGCCATTGTGCCAGGCCAAAATCACTGTTTTCAAAAGTACTTTTACTTCCCTACAAGTGAAATATATGGGTTGTAAAATGTAAAGGATTTCTTGTATATACCTCCCAATAACTACCACAGTCATACAATTGTGGGTATGCATTATTTGCTACTTTTCCGAAGTTAGCTTATTTTCCAGCTAAGTACATTGAAGACCGAATTGGCTTTGGTTATCCTTTTATGAAATAGGAATCTTAGTCCTGTGATAATTTGCTGGTATGTCATTTGTATCCAACCTGTTAAATCTTGTTTTTATTGCCATTTGGAAGTCTTTATGGAAATTCAGAGTTGATCTGCATCTGAAATGCTGATCGATTTGTTGCTTTTGAACATTGCTTTTTCTTCAATTCACCATAAGCTCATCCAAAAAAGTAAATGGTTTCTTGAGTATTGACTACCTAAAAACTATTAATGAGGTCATGAGTTGTGTAAATGAACAACCTCCTCTGATTCCAGCACACATTGCTTTTACAATCAGTTATATAAGGGGAAAAACAAAATAACATTTACAAAATTAGACATTTTTATTAAGGATGTGATAATATATAATAGCATCTCTGTGCCTAACCAGAAAGGTTCTAGGTAGTTGTGGTAATATCAGTATTTCATATGCTGAAATCTGATGATGTTGGAGCTTCTAGAACATGAGAACCAGGCACAAATGATAGAACCCCATTCTCAACTGCTGACTGTCAGCACTGGATTTTCTTAGGAAACTTTACTGCATTCCACTTTTTTTCTATATTTATTGCTTTGGAATGAAAGGTGGTACACCAGTGAGCTCAGTGGATATAGGTTCAAATTTTCTTTTTTTGCCTCCATGAACTTGCAGGGGTCAGAACTAAGTATCCTGTGTTTACTACTGGTTAATTTTTTAAAGAATAGCTAAGTCCTTAACCACCTTGACATTGAAGCATCATTTAAATTTCCCCTTTAATTGAAAAGTTTTAATTCTTTCTCATTTGTCTCATTTTTACTCAGTGAATCATACCAAATATACAGTCTAGAGCTGTGCTACCCAATATGGTAGCCAAAGTTAAATTAATTTAAATTCCTTAGTTGTACTAGTCACATTTCAAATGTTCCATGGCCGCATGTGGCTCATCTAGGACCACTGTACTGGACAATGTAGATATAGAACTTTCTATCTTTACAGAAAATCTGTTGATAGGACAGTACTGATCTAGATAACCTGGAAGAAAAATAATGAAAAAAGAGAACTGTTCTTGATATCTTTTTTCTCCGTAAAGAGGCATTAAGACTCAGGGCGTCCTTTCTACCCTCTCAGTCTTTCTTGTGCCATATTGCAGTTGTGTTATATGGCAGCATATATGATCTGAAATTTGACATTGAGTTTGAGGTAAACAATGGGTTAGGAGTTTGGGACGGGGGATTTTCACACATAGTTTTAATATTTGAAGATGGCCAGGTGCGGTGGCTCATGCCTGTAATTCCATCACTTTGGGAGGCTGAGGTGGGCAGATCACTTGAGGTCGGGAGTTTTAGACCAGTCTGGGCAACGTGGTGAAACTGCATCTCTACTAAAAATACAAAAATTAGCTGGGTGTGGTGGCACATGCCTATAGTACCAGCTACTCGAGACGTTAAGGCAGGAGAATCTCTTGAACCTGGGAGGTGGAGGTTGCGGTGAGCTGAGATGGCGCCACTGCACTCCAGCCTAGGTGAAAGAGCAAGACTCCGTCTCAAAAAAAAGAAAGAATAAGACATTAAGATTTTTCAGTTATTATTTGGATAAATTTACCAAATTATAAGGTTCATAAACATATTGAAATTGATAGCTCTTTACTGATAGCTTATTGGCTTTTTAAGCTACTATTTAAGTTTTATACTAATGGTATATGCTCTTAGTGAACTTGTAGAGCTGTTTAGTTTTTTTTCTTTTTTTTTTTTTTTTTTTTGGGACAGCGTTTCGCTCTTTCGCCCAGGCTGGAGTGCAATGGTGCGATCTGGGCTCCCTGCAACCTCTGCCTCCCGGATTGAAGCAATTCTCCCACCTCAGTCTCCTGAGTAGCTAGGACTACAGGCACGCGCCACCATGGCTGGCTAATTTTTGTATTTTTGGTAGAGACGGGGTTTCACCACCTTGGCCAGACTGGTCTAAAACTCCCGATCTCAAGTGATCCACCCGTCTCAGCCTCGCAAAGTGCTGGGATTCAGGCATGAGCCACCACGCCGGCCTAGTTTCTTTTTTGAGTGTTCATTTAGAAGCGGCTCTTAGTTTCTCGTTATTATTTTTTTCTGGAATCTCAGCTGGGATGCTAAAGACATCTCCAGGTGATATTTAGAGAATAAAAATTGTGGTATTGGCCGGGCACTTTGGGAGGCCAACGTAGAAGGACCCCTTCAGCTCAGGAGTTTGAGACCAACATGCGCAATGTAGGGAGACTCTGTCTAAAAAAAATTGTGTAGTCTGCTTAATTTTTAAAATATAAACTTATTTTTAGTAACTTATGTTCAGCATATTATAGAATATTGCACAAATCCTGAGTGTACAGCTTATGTTCACAGTGAGTACACCCATGTAACCAGCATCCAGACCAATTAAAAAAAACTACTAATACTGGTGTCCTTTCCTAGTCATTATTCCTAACCACTACCCTGTCCTTTAACACTAGAATAATTCTGCCTGTTTTTGAACTTTATTTAAATAGAATTGTATATACTCTTGTATTTGACTCCTTTTCCTTAATAGTATATGGATAAGCTAATCTGTGTTGTTGAACAATGCAGTTTTTCTTTTCATTGATAGAGTACAGCTGTAGACATTCTTGTTTGTGCCATTGACACATATGAGGCATTACCTAGGTATGGAATTGCTAGGTTGTAGTATATGTGTTCATTGCCAAATAGTTTTTCCAGTGTGATGCCAGTGTACTAGAAACTTCCACCAGCAGTTACAGTTTCTTCACATCCCTGCCAATGTTGTTATATAGTCTTTTTAATTTTAGACATTCTGGGTGGAGGGTTTATTTAATTTTTGAAAATTCAGTGAAATATTCCCTGCTTCCCTCTCTTCTGAACTTTAAGAATGTCTGATAGGTAATTCAGACATAGAATTTATACCATTATATTTCTGTTATAGCTTTCTAACTGACTTAGTCTTTTTACACAATTTCATGTTTTCAGGCTTAAAATGGTCATTTGAATATAGTTATTATTTTCAAACATTTTGTTATGTTCTTTGTTATAAGTATTTGTTTGAGAGATATTTCTGAGGCAAATGCCCTTGGTTGGATTTCGTTGACTTTGCTAATTTTTAAGTTATACTTTATTTAAACTAGTCATTAAAGATGGACATTTTTATTTTGGCCAAGCTATATATATAATGAGAAATGTTTACCATATATATACGTACATACGTGTATGTCCTTTAAAAATTGGAATACTGTGTTATCTGTTAGGTAGGAATATTATGACTATCAAGGCTGCTAATTTGTTTAAATGATTTCTAATAAAACACCACATACGTCTAATTTCCATCTCAGCTATGTCCCTGATTTTTACCTCCTTTCAAGTAGAAGAATAATTCTACATTTTGAAATTTCTTTCAACTGTCAAATATCAAGCTAAGGGATTTATTTTGGAAGAAGATGTTTAAAAAAATGTGTATGTATGTGTATATGTTTATACATGTAATTTTGCCTGGTCTTGGGATATTTAAGCATTTATTTAGTAAACATTTCTGTTGATCTTGACATAAGATTCTGTGTTGTCAAGGAATTACCCTTCAAAATTGATTAGTTTAACATTTGTGAGTAGTCTTCTAGTATTCTACATTTATTATGACCTTTTATATTTGCTTTTGCAGTAGACCTTTTTTCTTGGGGAAAAAAAAAGAAAGGTAGCTTTGTGTTAGTTTGCTTTAAAAGTTGTATTTGTTGACCTGATATTTTTGCCCTACTTCAGGGGCTTCATAACACCTCCCTGAAATGACTGTTTCTATGAGGATAGTGAAGATTGATTGATTTCTAATAATTATTATATAATAAATACTTAATTGTTGTTCATATCTTACCCACTCTACCAAACGTCAGGTTGGCCATAATCCCTTCCTTACTATAAAATGTACAGCACATAATCCTTCCTTACTACAAAATATACATTGTGTTATCCAGATGCCAGTATTCATGGATGAGGCTTGCTAATATTATATATACAAAAGCATAATTATAATAAATAATTAAATTAGAATAATTAATAGTTTTAAAATAAAGGAAACTTTTGTGCAAAGCCAAATATGCTAGTCATGTCACCTAGACAAAATATGATCATAAACTAGGAATTTTAAGGGGTATGTTTTTACCTTTCATTCTTCTCAACAACTTATTTTTAACTTAATGTAAATAAAAGTTTATATTTTGGTTTATTGTTTTGAAGAAAGAACATCCCAAAATCAGATGAAAAATGGAGTGTGTGATGCTTGATAGTCACCACCAGCCAGTCATGAGGGTCCATAAAATAGAGATCTCAGGGAACATCTGTGTTCCAGAAACCACCTCTGGTGCCTCTGAGGGTTAGATTAGTGGAGGTCGTGATCACTGTTGGAAAATTATGTAATTTAAATTTTATTACTTAAAACTATCTTGTTATCAACAGAGCTCAACTTTGTAGTAAGCAAACTAGCTTCTTTTTTTTTTTTTTTTTTTTTTCCCCCAGAGATGGCAGTTTTAATATGTTGCTCAGGCTGGAGTGCAGTGGCTATTCACAGGCACAACCATAGCTTACTACAGCCTTGACCTCCTGGGCTCAAGCGATCCTCCCACCTCAGCCTCCCAAGTAGCTGGGATTACAGGCATGTGCCACCATGCGTGACTCACAAGTAGCTCTTAAAAATTATAAATTAGGTCTGTATCAAATGGGACGTATTCTGTATTGTGACAGATACTACAGTTTTTTAGAATATTTTCATAGCCTTTTTTGTTTAAAGTTAGGCTATTGAGAAAAAATACCTTTTAGTGAGTGTCTTTCTTTGCCAATGTTTTTAAAGAATAAGCAATGAATAAATAAAGAATAGTATGCCATATATTGCTTATATTTTGCTCTAATAATTTTTGTATTAAAAAACTCTCAAAATTTAACTACAGTTAACAGTTGTTGAATCTTAAGCAGAAGACATACTGGATGATTGTGCTATTTGATCTTTTCTGTATATTTGAAATTTTTGTTAATAAAAAGTTAAATATTTTAATTAAAAATGATAAAAAGCTTTAATTGCTTGTCTTTATTTACTATCAGTAGGCAATAGATATCTGAGTATCTTCTAGGCATAATTGCTGGGTTCTGTGGTAGATGCAGAGACACATAAGACATTGTTTCTTTCTTCAAGAAGATTATAATACATATAAGGTGATTGAACTTTTGCATAAGTGATATGTGTTAGCAGAGTGGGTAGTATAGAAAAATAGTAAAAGAAAAATGTAAGTTAGAAATTAGATTATGGTATATTCTGATGAGAGGCTTTGTACAGTGTAATAGTTTTCTTTTAGGAAGTCAGTATGAGGCCTGAGGATTAACAACACAACCTTGTTAACATTGGTTAATTTTAATCAACTGATTGAAACAAAGAGAAAATATTTTTAAGATAGTTGATAACCTATTCTGATTTATTTAGGAATCTATCGTCTTTGACCTAAAACAACGGACTGAGAGAATTCTGTGATTTTTTTTTTTTTTCTTTTCTTTTTTTCTTTTAAGAGATGAGGCCTTACCGTGTTGCCCAGGTTGGTCTTGAGTCCCTGGCGTCAAACCATTCTCCTGCCTCATTTTCACAGTGTTGGGATTACAAGCATGAACCACCATGCCCAGCCAGTGTTTTCTTTTTCTTCATGAACTGTAGTGTTCCTCTTTACATGTGGTGAAACTGCAAGAGCTATTTCATGTGGTCCTTTTTTTATATATATATTTAGAACATCTTGAGCTGAGCATGGTGGCTCATACCTGTAATCTCAACACTTTGGGAGGTTGAGTTGGGAGGCTTGCTTGAGTTCAGGAGTTTGAGACCAGCCTGGGCAACATGGTGAGACCTTGTCTCTACAAAAAAATTAAAAAATTTGTCAGGCATAGTGGCACACGGCTGTGGTCCCAGCTACTCGGGAGACTGAGGTGAGAGGATCACTTGAGACCAGGAGGTGGAGGCTACAGTACGCCATGATTGTGCCACTGCACTCCAGCCTGGGTGATAGAGTGAGACCCTGTCTCAAAAAAAAGAAAAAACAAAAAAACAAAAAAAAAACTTGAAAAATAAAACATTTACTTATTTTTATTTATTTATTTTTTTTGAGATGGAATCTCGCTCTGCTGCCCAGGCTCCAAAGTGCTGGGATTACAGGCATGAGCTACCGCACCGGCCACAAAACATTTAAATTGGATGTATTTATAAAATGTGTTATAGCAGAAGACTTACTAAAATAAGATTGTGCACATGAATGGCAAGATGGGAACTTGAAGTTTTAGGTCATTTGTTTTTAGTTCAAATTAGTATTATGTAAAACTCTTACCTCCTGGTTGTCCTGTGCCTCATAATGATCAGGAGTTGAGATGAGGTGTTTATATGAGTGCTATTTAAAGCTGTTACTCAGCGTAAATGACTGATTTCTTTCTTGAAGACATGCATCGTGTTTTACTTTGGTGTTCCGTATTTTCCCTGTGTTATTTCTGGAGCGACAGAATGATGTCTTGGCTAAAAATATAGTCCTGTGGACTGTGTTTGAAACTTGACTTTTTTTATCTTAGAAAACATTTTTCTTCTCCACAACATCCTCATTTGTAAAGTTAATATATTTTTCTCATAGGGTTTCTGTGAGGAATAGAATAATTCCTGAAAAGTACTTAGCACAGTGCTTGGCACATATAAATATGCAAATGGTATCTATTGTTATTTCTATTGTATAAATAGTTGACTTGGGAACCTCTTTATTTGTAAGATTTTCTAGTAGACTAATGCCTGAAACTTTAGCTGTAGAGTGTATTATATTTTCATGTTTTATCTCATTCCGTTTTTGACTCTGGTCTGAAAATAACAATGACCAAGGTTTGAGTTCAGGGTCAACATAATAAATGGCAGGAGTTAAATTCCATTTTGGGTTTGTGTGACTCTGGAAACTGGGCTCTTGATCACTGTTATATTCTTACATGCTGCATGTTTATTTCTGTGTGACATGGGAATGGTACTGGGTTTATATCACATCATTTTGTTTAGCTTAATATATTGATGTTCCTTATCAAGTTGACAGGATGTTGAATCTCTATCTTTCAAAGTTGATTCTTGACCATTGGTCTTGAATGTGTGTATCATTGATCATATGTATGTGTCACTGATCAGGTGGGTGTCAGCAGAAAACTCATCAGTAATAGAAAAGTGACAAAATACAGGTCTTGATGTTAGTGGTGTAACGACATTAGCTGACATTAATTGAATATGTCAAGTATTACAGTAAGTTCTTTTTATGTTACTGTGTGACTTATTCTTCAGTGTTCCTTTGAGGTATTCATACTATTCTTTATTCTTTTTTTTTTTTTTTTTTTTTTTTCTGTTGAGAAAACTTGCCCAAAGGCAGCTGGTCAGTTGAAGGGAAATTGACTCAAAGTCTCCTCTGATCTAGTGCCAACGTCTGGAGTGCTGTATAAATACATTCTCTGTTGTTTTATTGTAGTAAATGCTGCCTTATTCACAAATGCTTGGGGGAATGTTGTGTTTTAATTGAGTTACAGTGCTAAATAATTCCTTTTTGTTGCCACTTTTCAGAGACTTACTCCTCTAGTATCCTTAACATATTTATATACATAAGGAACCCTCATTTTACAAGTTATGTTTGAGAAATTTATCAGATTGGATTTTTTGCGGTGAATCTCTATGAGATGATTGAGTTGCCAGGCTAACTTGTGTAAATAATAATGCTAATGTAGCAAAAATGCAGAACAGAAGAAAATAATTAGAAGAGAAAAAAATGAGAATAGAAAAATAATGTCTTGGATATTGATAGTTGAGTAGCAGTAGGTTTAATTTGAGGCTTTCAAAGACATAGAAATTCTGAAAGAGTTTCTAAATCAAGGAATTTTGGAAGGCTAGCATTCTTTGCTAATTTTGCTTCCAGTTTATTTTGCATTATTACCGAGAACACACATCAGTGATTTAACACATCACCTATCAGTAGAGTTTTTTTTTTGTTGATTTGTTAAGAGGAGGTAACTAGATGAGAACTGTTTTTCCTTGGGTATCTGAGGGATAGTGAAAGGAAGAAGATGATAAGGAGGATGTGTGCTTTTAATAGTATAAAATAAGCTGTGAATGATTTCAAAGAGAGGTGGTGGGAGAGCAAGTCCCTGTACTAGTAACCATTTACATTTACTGCCCCTAACAAGATGGGGGATAGGAAGGTATGAGATAGAATATAGATTATTCATATCTAAAAGATACTGCAAATTTGTTTTTCTTACAAACAAATGCTCCCTGACATACAACCTTTCTTTCAAAAAGCATTTCAAGATTTCATAGTATACTTCAGGATTATCATTGTAAGTTACATTTTAAATTTTTAAACATTTTCTTTGAATTCTGTGTCCATAAGAGTTTACTACACAGGAAACAACAGACTGTACACAGTTAATGTGTATCTGTGATAGCAGAATTCAAAGGTAAGGTTTTTTTCCTGTGTTCTTTAGATGAGGACTCCAGGTTTTACACCTTTCAAAGTGTTTAGATTTACTATCATAAGGAAACCAACTCTTTGATATCAGAAAAGTATTACAATGATGCTAAAATTTTTATGGCGTAGTTATTTCTATTTGTAGATTGTGACATTCATATAATTTTATTACTTTTCTATATTTCTTGACTAAAATTACCCAATTCTTTTATTTAGGAAGTGGCAGTTTTTGTCTTTGATAAAAAACTGATTGACAAGTATCAAAAATTTGAAAAGGATCAAATCATTGATTCTCTAAAACGAGGAGTCCAACAGTTAACTCGGCTTCGACACCCTCGACTTCTTACTGTCCAGCATCCTTTAGAGGAATCCAGGTAAATTTTTATAAAAACTTACATAGTAGACTTCCTGAACAAATAGTTAAAAATAATTTTATATTTGAAATCTGTCCGTTTCAAGTATTGTCAGTGAAAAATTCTTATACTGTCAGTGTTGAGTTCTTATACATTTGTTTTCTCCCTAAAATTTATTTGCACTGTCTATGTATATGTCTCTCTTTGAAATATTAATACTTTCTTTACTTTTGCCATGATTCTGTACTTCAGTGCCTACCCTGTGCTCTTCACTACAGTAGTCAAAATAGAAGATGCAAGGGTATGGAATACAGTTCTTGCCTGAAAGTAGCTGTCCTTGCTAATTTGCTAGAATTTCTTGTCTCCTTTTCATTGGTACAGTATTTGGAAGCCAATTTTGTGTGTGTGCCAACTACTGTTTCAGACATTTAACCTTCTACTATGCCCAGCGTGTCAGTCCATAGCTCTCAGTTACTTTACCATCTATTTTTCTCAAGGGTGCATTTGGGAAGTGTTACTGAGAATGACAAGAAAATGAAATTTATGTAATCTTAACTGGACCCTCAAGCTTGTGGCACTTTTAATACTCCTTTAGATAACCTTTTCGACATTACTTATAACCCCAAATTTATGCCTTTCTTCCTTCTTCCTCAGCAGACTGTATTCCCCTCTCTTAATTCAGAAAATCTTAATCAGATCGTTTGGTATTTGTGTCCTGTGGCCCTGTTGGCCCTTAGGATTTTTAAGTAGAGGGGAAAAATGGGAAGATGGAGGACACAGAGCTGGCAGGGTTCCAGGCTGTGTGGAATGAAGGTCCCATCTCCCTTCAATTGTACAGTTTTGCTTTTATCTTTTATTATATTTTGAGTTTCTGCAACTTGGAATCTTCAGTAACCCACCCTTCAAAGGCACAAGATCTTTTTTTTAAACATAAAAGGAAAAATACAAATATTTACTATGTGAAAAACTATGCTAAATGCTTTACATTGTTTAATTTATCTAATTCTCACAATTAACACAGAACAGAGGATCAAAGAAACAATGGTTTTAAGTACCAGAGCTAGGATTCATTTTGTCATTTTGATTCCTGAGTCCATGTTTTTATTTTTTACTGCACCCTGCTGTATCTACTCAAAAATATGCTTATGTGTCAGTTGATTGATGGAGACAGAGTCTCACTCTGTTGCCCAAGCTGGATTACAGTAGTGCCATCATATCTCACTGTAGCCTCGAACTCCTGGGCTCAAGTGATCCTCCTGCCTCAGCCTCCCAAGTAGACTACTACAAGTGTGTGCTACCATGCCCATCTAATTTTTTGATTTTTAATTTAAAACTTTTTTGTTTTGTAGAGATGAGGTCTTACTATATTACCCAGGCTTATCTTGAACTCTTGGCCTCAAGTGATCCTCCCTGCGATTACAGGTGTGAGTGACTGTGCCTGGCCTCTTTTTCTTTTTTAATTTTTGGGATGAGGTTTCACTATTGTTGCCCAGGCTTGTCTTGAACTCCCGAGCTTAAGTGATCCTCCTGCCTCAGCCTCTTAAGTAGCTGGGACTACAGATGCATGCCACTGTACCTGGCTTGCTCATATGTCTCCTGCCATAAAAATATTTTTCATTGCCTTTCTTTTCATTGATAAACCCAGAACACTGTAGTTTCTGTCTCTTTAATACTGTTGTGAATCCTGTATCCCAACATAGACTGTATCCCAGCGTAGAAATCTATGTAATCTTAACTGGACCCTCAAGCTTGTGGCACTTTTAACACTCCTTTAGATAACCTTTTCCACATTACTTATAACCCCAAATGTATGCCTTTCTTCCTTCTTCCTCAGCAGACTGTATTCCCCTCTCTTAATTCAGAAAATCTTAATCAGATCGTTTGGTATTTGTGTCCTGTGGCCTTGTTGGCCCTTAGGAATTTTAAGTATAGGGGAAAAATGGGAAGGTGGAGGACACAGAGCTTATCCCACACATATCCTACACTTTCCTGACTCTGTATTTCTTGGTGCTATTTCCTCTGGAGTGTTTTCTATCAGTATCTCTAATGTCACCTATGAGAATCCTACCTATCCTTGTTATTTTATGTTGTATTTACATGCCTTATATCTTGTAATTACGTTTCAAGTCTCTTGAGGGGAGAAGGACTATGAGTTATACTTTTCTGTGTCCCTGCAGCTTTTTGTATAGCGATTTAAATATTATAGAATTAGGAATTTATTGGCAATCATGAAGAGAGACAATTCAAAGATTACTTTAAGATATCCTAATTGTTAGGTTGTAAAAATTGTAGTAGTATTGATAGAAATAGGGACACTTTAGGGAAGAAAAAGAAAACTTCCAGTTTTTAGTGAATTAATAATACTGAGATGACACTGGAATTACCCAAAGGAAATGCACTACAGAAAGAGTAATTCACATGACAGTCCAGAGTTGGTGATGTATATGGGCATATACATCAGGCAGTAATTAAACCTGCAGGCAGGTTTTAATTACTTACAGGCAGTAATTAAAACCTAAAACAAAGTGAGTTTTTCAAGAGTATGAGTAAAAGGAGCAGAGTACTGAGGAAAGAACCTTGAAATGTAGGGAAAACGAGAGCCAAAGAAAAAATTAGGAGAAATATTGTCGTATGGCAGGAGAATTGGCAGCATGTCATGGAAGCAAAAGGAAGGAAAAAAACCCACTAACACTGGAGAACACAGAATAAAAAAGAAAATAAGAACAGAGAAGAATTCGTTACATTTGACCAGTGAGAGGTTGTTAGTCACATTCAGTAATTTTAGTAGAATGACAGTTTGGAAGCTAAAAAAGTAGATTCAAAGGGACTTAGCAGAGAAGACACTCTGTGAGTCTGTAAGACAGTTTTTTTTTTTTTTTTGACCTTACAGTTCAACAAAAGCATGCCTTATGGTCCATTGTGTTAATGAGCTAAGTGTTGGGAGTACAGAACAAGGCAGCTTCCTTGATGATGGCTGAGCAGGTAGCAGGACAGTGTGACCCTTTCTCTCCTTCAACCTAAGCTCTGTTTTTATTTCTTATATATTAAGCTTCTGCATATGCTCTCATTTGAAAAACAGATTTAAGGCAGGAGAAAAGTTATTCAGGTACTGGAACAGATGAGACATCTGTTAAAGGACATAACTGCCATTTAACAGTTACTACGCAGGCCCAGAAGCTTGTTATATAGCCACGTTACTGAACTACTCTGTAGTTCTTCATTGCCAGAGCCGAAAGCCCAAGGCCTAAAATGTTAGGACTTGAGTGGCAAATGCTTGGTAATTATAATACCTGTGGTAAGCTTATTGAGCTTACATGCTTTATGTATTTTACATGATTTTCTCATTTGATCTTTATATTAACCCTTTAAGGCGGATCTATTATCACCATTTTACAAATGGGAAGTGAGACTCAGAACAATAGTGTCCATTGTTACCAAAATAGCACATAAGGATGCTGGGACTTTTTGAAGTCAGGTATCTGTCCTCAAAGCCTGAGCTCTTGATCATTACTCTGTAAGGCCATTGAATGTTAATATCTAACATTTTCTGAGTTTATAAATATTCTTGTACATGAAAGACTAGTAATTTTAAAAATTTAATAACTGATACCTTTCAAAATGACATATAAAATAGATAAAAGCAAAACTGCTTTGTGAAGTGGGAACTGGGCTGCTGGAGCTAGCTATGCCTTGTCTCTCTTCCTGACTACTCCTATTCCAGGGTCATCTGTGGGAAATCCGGAAGTTCCTTTGAGCGTATTCTGAAAATTAACAGCTTTATAAATAAAGATAATACCATAGGTATAATGTAACGGTATTTTGAATTAGTTTATTGGTTTTCTGTGAAGAATATCAATCATTTGAACAAGACTGTTGAAGCAGTGTTTTATTTTCTCACTTTTTAAGTTTTAAAAAATATCACAATTATCACAACACTTAGTTTAAAAGACCAAGTGATTTATCTAGTATAATTTGTATGCAGAGGCTCCTAACTTTGTTGGTTTAAGTGGATTATGTCTATGCTGAAATTACCAAATGTAAAATAGTCTACTTTCTTATTGATAGTTTAATAGAAGTACTAGTATTTTATGTATATTTGATTTTGATAATGTGTAATAATATGATAGTAAAAAACTTTTTCTTTTTTAAAACAGGGATTGCTTGGCATTTTGTACAGAACCAGTTTTTGCCAGTTTAGCCAATGTTCTTGGTAACTGGGAAAATCTACCTTCCCCTGTATCTCCAGACATTAAGGATTATAAACTTTATGATGTAGAAACCAAATATGGTTTGCTTCAGGTATGTGTTTTTATTTAACATGTAAAAAAGAGTGTTTCCTTTAAAATTGGTTTTAGCATTTCAAACTTATTAGCCATGTAAAACTACTTTATGTAAACTTTTGGTTCTTGTTAGTAATTTAATCATTATTCATATGTTCTGGAAATTTTTTCTGCAGTTTGTTGTTAGGCTTAAATGATATTTTAAGCATATCAAACTGATAACATTGGTAACCTTTGGGGGGGTCACTTATTGGCTGGTGGATGGAGTCAATTCCTTTTGATTCTTTCGAATTTTAAACTGAACAAATTTTATAAAGCATTCAATTGAAATAAAAAAGTCTTTGATAAAAATAAAAATTTTATCTTTAAGGAATTTACTTAGTAGATATCATGAGGTATTGTTAGCCTTTTCTTTCTTTTCTTTTTTTTTTTTGAGATGGAGTTTCATTCTTGTTGCCCAGGCTAGAGTGCAATGGCGCGATCTCAGCTCACTGCACCCTCTGCCTCCCAGGTTCAAGCGATTCTCCTGCCTCAGCCTCCTGAGTAGCTGGGATTACAGGCATGCGCCACCACGCATGGCTAATTTTTGTATTATTGGTAGAGACGGGGTTTTACCATGTTGGCCAGGCTAGTCTCGAACTCCTGACCTTGTGATCCACCCACCTTGGCCTCCCAAAGAGCTGGGATTACAGGCATGAGCCTCTGCGCCTGGCTAGCCTTTTCATATATGCTCATTTTTTCAGATTTTCCTTTCCCTGCTTACCAAAGTAGTATCTTCAAAGCTGACTTTGGCAGCTTATGCCTGTGGGAAGCACTCTGGGAAGCTGAGGAGGGAGGATCACTTGAGCTCAGGAGTTTGAGACAACCCTGGGCAAGACAACATATAGCAAGACCTTGTTTCTACAAAAAAATTTTTAAATATTAGCTGGGCATGGTGGCGTGCACCTGTAGTCCCAGCTACTCAGGAGGCTGAGGCAGGAGGATCGCTTGAGCTTGGGAGGTTGAGGATGCAGTGAGCTATGATAGTCCTACTGCACTCCAGCCTGGGTGACAGAGTGAGAACCTATCTTAAAATAAAATAAAATAAAATAATATCTTCAGTGCCATAGAATAAATTTATATAGTAGATTCTAAGTTCCTTTTGGGCAGACATTATTTTTATTACGTTTGAACAGCTTTATTAAGATATAATTGGCATACAGTAAACTACACATATTCAAAATATATGGTTTTATAAGTTCGACATATACTTACCTGTGGATCCATCACCACAATCAAGATATTGCATCTATTCGTAACTCCCAAGAGCTTCCTCATATCCCTTGTAATCCCTCCTTCCTGTTCCTTGCAGTTTTTCTGTGCCTTATCTCAGAAAGTTTCCTGCTTTCTATCGCTATGGATAGATTTGCATTTTCTAGAATTTTATAAGTGGAATCATATGGTACCTGTTCTTTTTCGGTCTGGCTTCTTTTCTTGTTTTTTGAGATGGAGTCTCACTCTCTTACCCAGGCTGGAGTGCAGTAGCGCGATCTTGGCTCACTGCAGCCTCCACCTCCTGGGTTCACACCATTCTCCTGCCTTAGTCTCCCGAGTAGCTGGGACTACAGGTGCCTGCCACCACGCCTGGCTAATTTTTTGTATTGTTGGTAGAGATGGGGTTTCACTGTGTTAACCAGGATGGTCTCAATCTCCTGATCTCGTGATCCGCCCGCCTCGGCCTCCCAAAGTGCTGGGATTACAGGCGTGAGCCACCGTGCCCGGGCTGGTCTCGCTTCTTTTAACCAGCATAATATTTGAGATTCACGTGTTGTGTGTATCAATAGTTGACTTTTTTTCTTTTTTTAATGCCGAGTTGTTAATTTTATGAATCAATTTGCCTGTTAATAATATTTAGGTTGTTTCTAGTTTTTGACTACTGTGCATAAAGCTGCTATGAACATTCATGTACAAGTTTTTGTATGAACATACACATTCATTTCTCTTGATTAACCAAGTACTTGGGAGAGAAATGGTTAGATCGAATGGTATGTGTATGATTCACTTTTTAAGAAAATGATACTGTTTTCCATAGTGGTGGTGCCATTTTACATTTCTGTCAGCAGCATATAAGAATTCCATTTTTTTTCACATCTTTGCCAAAATCTGCTATGTTTGGTCTCTTTGGTATCAGTCATTCTAACAGGTGTGCAGTAGTATCTCATAGTGCTTTTAATTTGTATTTCTTTGATCAATAATGATAGCGAGCATCTTTTCATATGCTTCTTTGCCATCTGGATGTCTTTTTAGGTGAAATACCTCTTCAGATATTTTGCCCATTTTTTTGAGTGGATTGTTTTCTTATTATTGACTTATGTGTGGACACAGTACATAATTTACATAATTTACAAAGGTTTTCTCCCAGTTTGTGGCTTATCTTGTTATTCTCTTCACTGTATATTTTAAATAATTGTGGCAAAATACCATCTTAACTTTTTTAAAATTATTTTTAATTTTTGTGGGTACATAGTAGGTATGTATACTTATACATGAGATACTTTGATACAGGCATGCAATGTGTAATTGCATCATGGGAAATGGGCATCCATCTCCTCAAGCATTTATCCTTTGTATTACAATCCATTATACTCTTTTAGCTATTTTTAAATGTACAATTAAATTATTATTGACTTTAGTCACCCTGTTGTGCTAGCAAATTCTAGGTCTTATTCATTTTTTCTAACTATTGTTTTTGTACCCATTAACCATCCCTACTTTCCCCCACCTCCTGCAACTGCCCTTCCTAGCCTCTGGTAACCATCTTTCTACTCTCCGTCTCCATGAGTTCAATTGTTTTGATTTTTACCTTCCACAAATAAGGGAGAACATTGGAAGTTTGTCTTTTTGTTCCTGAGTTATTTTGCTTAACATAAAGACCCCCGGTTCCCTCTGTGTTTTGTTGCAAGTGACAGGATCTCATCCTTTTTTATGACCAAATAGTACTCCATTGTGTATATGTACCATATATTCTGTATCTGTTCATCTATTGATGGACACTTAGTTTGCCTCTAAATCTTGATTATTGTGAATAATGCTGCAACAAACATGGGAGTGCAGATATCTCTTTGCTATACTGATTTCCTTTCTATTTTTGAGTATGTACCTAGGAGTGGGATTGCTAGATTATATGGTAGCTCAAATTTTGGTTTTTTGAGGAACCTCCAAATTGTTCTTCATAGTTCTTGTACTAATTTACATCCCCCCACAACAGTGTACGAGGGTTCTATTTTCTCCATATCCTCTCCAGCATTTGTTATTGCCTGTCTTTTGTATGAAGGCATTTTAACTAGAGTGAGATAATATCTTGTTGTAGTTTTCATTTTTGTTTCTCTGATGATCATTGATGTCGGGTACCTTTTCTTATGCCTGTTTGCTATTTGTATGTCTTCTTTTGAGAAATGTCTATTCAAATCTTTTGTCCATTTTTGATCAGATTATTAGGTTTTTTTTTTTTTTATTGAGTTTTTTGAGTTCCTTATATATTCTGGTTGTTAATCCCTTGTCAGATGGGTAGTTTGCAAACATTTTCTCCCACTCCATGGATTGTCTCTTCACTTTATTGTTTATTTCATTTGATGTACACAAGCTTTTTAACTTGATGTGATCCCATTTGTCCGTTTTTACTTTGGTTACCTGTGCTCGTAGGGCATTACTCAAGAGTTCTTTGAGTTTTCTGTAGCCATTGGTTGAAATGTTCTGTAACTGTCTATTAGGTCCATTTAGTCTATGGTACAGATTAAGTCTGATGTTTTTGTTGATTTTCTGTCTGGAAGATTTGTCCAGAATTGCTGTCAAGAGCCTAGACCTGGATTTGGGCACCTCAAGAACCCACTTGGTGCTCTTCCCTGCTGTGGCCAAGCTGGTACCTAAGGTGCAAGACAAAGTTCCCTTTGCTTTTCCTCTGGTTTCTCAAATAAAAGGAGTCTTTCACCATAGCCACCACAGCTGGGAATGTGCTGGGTCACCGCCCTGAAACCAGCACAGCCCAAGACCCATGGCGTAGTACGTGGGTATCACTATTGGTTATTCAGGGCCCGATGGCTCTTTAGTTAGCAGATGATGAATCCCGCCAGGACTGGGTCCTTCCCTTCAAGGCAGTGGGTCCCCTTTAGCCTAGGTGTGTCTAGAAATGTCATCCATGAGCTGGGATCTAGATTGGGCCCTTAAGACTGCCTGGTGCTGTATTCTACTGTGGCTGAGCAGTTACCTAAATGCAAGACGAAGTCCTTTTTACACTTCACTCTCCTCTCTTCAGACAGAAGGAAGGAGACCCTTTTGTTGCTGCCAACTGCATTGCCTGGGGTTGGGGGAGGGATGGTGCAAGCACCCCCTTATCTGTCCCAGCTGTTGTCTCCCTAGATCTCCCTAGGACACTTGCCATCCTAGTCAGTTTACTCTAAGCCTAGCCCAGGACTAAGAGTTGCATAGAAATTGCAGTCCTTTACCATTTGGTATGTTTTTGCAGTGGCTGGTACTGGTTTTTCCTTTCCATATTTAGTGCTTCCTTCAGGAGCTCTTGTAAGGCAGGCCTTGTGGTGACAAAATCTCGCATCATTTGCTCGTCTGTGTAGGATTTTATTTCTCCTTCACTTATGAAGGTTAGTTTGGCTGGACATGAAATTCTGGGTTGAAAATTCTTTTCTTTAAGAGTGTTGACTATTAGCCCCCACTCTCTTCTGGCTTGTAGGGTTTCTGCAGAGAGATCTGCTGTTAATCTGATGGGCTTCTCTTTATGGGTAACCCGACCTTTCTCTCTGGCTGCCCTTAACATTTTGTCCTTCATTTCAACCTTGATGAATCTGATGATTATGTGTTTTGAGGTTGCTCTTCTCAAGGAGTATCTTTGCGGTGTTCTCTGTATTTTCTGAATTTGAATGTTGGCCTGTCTTGCTAGGTTGGGGAAGTTCTCCTGGATAATATCCTGAAGAGGATTTTCCAACTTGGTTCCATTCTCCCCTTCACTTTCAGGTACACCAGTCAAAC